AGACGGAGAGAGAGAGAGAGAGAGAGAGAGAGACAAAGAGAGAGAAAGATCCTTTCCGTGGTTTACACTTGCCGGATGGAACGACGCTTCGCTACCAGCCATACTCGTTCAGAACCGGTTTCAATGCGTTGTGCCAACAGTACGTCTTTCCAACGCCGCTGCTGCTCTCGTTGAACCTTCGATATCCGTCCCCGTGGTGATCGGTACCCTACGCTCTTGACTTCTGTGCTGCCCCCGATATCGCGCGCCGTCCCCGATATACTCCCTTCCCTCCCCTTATCCCTTGTCCACCACGGATTTTTACTGCCACACCCAGCAGGTATTTTCGAGCAGAGACGGGTCCTTCCCCCCCCCCTCGGTAGTTAGGGCAGGTATCTCTCTCTCTTTCTCTGATCCGTTCGTAGTGTCGACGACCACCACTTTGTCTCCGCTGCACGAGTATCGTCGTCGCTTTCCCTCGAGTAACGAGCGGATCGTCGTCGTTGTTGTCAACGTTGAACAGAGACCGTTAATTAGAATGTTGGGAACGAGGGTAGGGCTAGGTTAGGTAAGGCCAGGCCAAGCTAGGATCGGTCTATTTCCCTGTTGAACGGGGAACGCGTAAATCGAATCGCGCGACACCCGCCCCGCGAAACGTTTAGGCTAATTAAACGAGGAGGAGGAGGAGGGGACAATATTGAATCGAAGTATGCGCAGCTAATTGGATCTCGTGTCCGTCCCTTCGTCCCCATGGCGATTTATTCTCCGTTACTTCGAAGTGGATAACTCAAGTATCTCGTTTCCAATCCGGCTAAATTTATAGCCACGCTCTCCGCGCGTGGAGAGAGAGAGAGAAGGACAGGTTCCTCGATCGGGAGGAGCCTGGTTTTCTCCTTTCTGTGGATTTTCGTGGACGACGAAATCCACGTTTCGCGTGATTCGAACGATGAGAGAGAGCAGCGATCCCATCCTCCTCGAGGCGAGCGTCGCTCGACGATCGACCGCTCCTCCCGATCGGTTCATCGATCTCGTTTCCATTCCACGCCCGGGATCATTCCCGTCGCGCGCTCCTTTCTACCGATCTATTTTTATCTATTCGCCTCGCGCGAAACGATCCCTCTTTTCCACGCGCGGGGGCAATTTCGTATACACGAAAGAATACCGAGAGAGGTCTCTCGATGGCAGAACTCGATCTCAGAACCGGTTTCTAGCGCGGTCTCGACGTAGACGACGACGTAGACGACGACGTAGACGACGTAGACGACGCGTTCCTTTCTTTCTTTCTTTCTTTCTTTCTTTCTTTCTTTCCCCGCATCGGGCCACTTTCGTTCTCACGCCGTTAGTTTCTCCGATACTCCTTCGAAACGAGCGCTCGTATCCGCCGATATTCGCGAGGGAAGGAGAACGCGTAGGCTCTCCACCGCGATCTCTTCGCCACCGAATTTCTGTCTTACGCGAATCCGCGGTGCACGCGTCTTTCCCGACTTTGTAACAAGCTTCGATAATATATTGGACGGGTATCTTTATAGCTTCGATACACGGTACGAGTCACCGGTATTAATAACCTCTCCTCGAATCACCGTGTATCCGTGACGACAAAAGCAAACACCGGAGATAAATACCGGCAGATATATACATACCAGTTACCTGTGTCGAGACGCGAAACGAGCGTCGTAGGTATGGATATATACGCGATAAGGATATATACGCGGGAATTCCGGTTAAAATCCATCTGGATCGGCGCGCAAAAGGCTAATTAATTAACGCGATGGACGTGAACGAAGCAACGCGTTACAAATGAGCTCGGGGAGGGGGAATTTTTCGTCCCTTTCTCTCCGTTTCGTGGATCGTTTCGAGCGCGGGGAACGGTTCTTTAATATCGTCGTTCGATCGTAAATTATCGTCGTCGGATCGTGCGTGAAACGTCGTTAAGATTATCCTGGTAAAATCATCGGGTCTGTCCGCGCCAACCTGCTAATTACAATCATTCCTCCCCACCGACGATCCCCTCTTCCGAAAATTAATTAGAGGAGGGGAGAGAAGGACCGATGATTCGGTCTGAAAACAGCAGATCTTGAAATTGTGATCGGGATAAAGGAATCTTATCGTTGGATTTCGAAGCAAGCGTGATAAATCGAAAAATCGTTTGGATCGGTACGAGAAAAATCGGTCGGCCATCGTCCCTCCCCTCCTCTGTCTCCTCCCCATTCCCCTGGTGAATGAACCCCACCCCTCCAGAGAGAAAGAGAGATAAGACGGAGAGGTGCTCGCCTCGGTTTCGCAAAGTAAGGTTCGAAAAATGGATCGGTCCGAATACCGTGGGCCCCCGTCTCGATCGTAAATCGTGGCTCGTTTCGCCGGTGAGCGGCACTCGGCGGTGAGAGTGGCACGAAACGGAACGACGACGCCTCGTCGAGATTAGCCGGCTATAAAATCACGAGGAAGTCGCGAACCACCGGTCCCAGCCGTGTCCTTCGAGGAATTACGAGGGTATTCGCACCTCGGGTGATTAATCGGCGCGATTTCGACCGGCAGATGCTTTTCTCCGACCATCTCTCTCTCTCTCTCTCTCTGGCTTCCCTCGTGCCGCCACTCGGCACCTCCTCGAGGAACGAGGAGAGGAGGAGGAGGAGGAGGAAGGAGATCGCATCGATGAGATGGAGCAACACCGAGTCGAGTAATTTAAATTAATTCGCACGATTACCGGCCCTCGAGATCGCCGTTCCACGAGCTCGTTACACCTTTATTGTTAATGAAGTCGTATTTGTCATTAGTTTTTGCCCGTTCCCGATCCAGCTGGTTAAGCGGCCGATTTATCTGGTTAAACGTTCTCGAGAGATCGGCGGAAACGGGTTCGGTGAGAAACGGGACGAGCGATCGGCCACGATTTTTCCACCGTGTTCTCTTTTTCCCCCCTTTCTTTTCTTTCTCTTTTCATCCTTGTGCGAAACAAACGGATGATGATCTCTCCTCGACGGAAGGAGAGAGAGAGAGAGAGAGAGAGCGAGTGTAGCGACTTTAGACAATTTATTTATTGTAATCGATCATGTGGGTGGATACGTTTCTAGGCGTGAGCTTGCAAAACTGTACCGCGGGCCCATTCGCAAGCGGGAACGGCGGTGGAAGCAGCCGTCAACGATTGCTCGAGCTGTCCCATGGATTAGGGGCCTTGAGACACTACAACGACCTGGCCAATCACGTGCTCTCGTTGAATCAGCAGGGGGCGGTGGTCACCAAACTTTTGGGTAAGAATTTCTCGAGCCGAAGATAAGATCGTTTCGTGTACGTAACAGCTTTTCGTGTCCCGCTCGATCGGCTTCGAAATTATTCGATTCTCGAGAATCGGATCGTTGTCGTCGACAAATTCGTCGTGAGCAAATTGATACAATATCCATTGTCAATTTTCTCAAACGTTTCACTCCTGCCTGCCTACCTACGTTTCATCGAAACGTACGTATCGAGAAAGGAGAAACAAAAATCGATTCCATCCAAGACGCGTGAAAAATAATAAGATGGATTTATTAATCCTCCGAGCAGGAAGTGTAATAATAATAATAATAATAATAACAACAACAACAATAATAATACGAGCTCGAATCCCCGTTTCTGAAAATCCTTCGAGTCAGACACGAGGTGGAGCTTAATAGAGCAGTTTGCCGTCCGCGTAACAGAATTCCATGGATCGTGATCCAGACAACGGCATTCCTCTCCTTCGAGCGGGTTACTATCATCGCCGAGATAAACGCGCGCTCGTTCACCGATGCGTGACGAGCTGTGCTCCTCGCGAGATGCTCGCCTCCCTCCCCGATAAAATCGCGAGGAGATCCACCACCGACGGACACCGACGGGCTCGAGGGACACGCGCTGAAAATGCGCCGATCAGCCGACCGAGACTCGGCTCGCGCGTGCGAGAGAGAAAGAGAGGGAGGAAGAAAAAAACAGGGATCCTCGAAACGGAGGAGAAAAAAACTTATCGTTTCCTCTTGTTTCCCCTCTCTTCGAGCCATTATTCGCCCGTTAATTGCATCCGTGTTCCGTTTCCCTATCCGACGAATCTTGGGATACCTGTGTAATCGTGGCTAATACCCTGTAACGCGATCGCGAGCGAAATTTTTCTCCCGCGAATATTCGTAAACATTTCGCTCGTCTCGAGGAGAAATCTTTCCTTGCGAATTTTTCTTCACTTTTTTTCATTCTTTTATATATTCGATATGGAAGCGGTTTCCGGAGAAATCCGTAAGAATAATTCGTTCGATCGTTGTGTGTGTGTGTGTGTGTATATAAAACCACGCGACGATATCCCTAATTTTCTACGATTTTTTATTCGTCGCTTCGCTTTTTTGCATTTTGTTTTGGACGATTCGATCTCCGCTCGGCTGAGAGTCGATGTTGATCGTTAAAACGGCGTAAACCGAATTGATCTACCATTTTCCAACCACGCTCTCCAGGGAGGAGATGGAGGTTGGAAAACAAGGAGCGTCGAGCTCGTTAGATCGACTGTTTCTTTCGCTCGATCGATTGATAATTCGTCAATTGCGATCCTCTTCCGTGCGATCGAAAAAAAAAAAAAAACGAACGAGAAACAATCGAATCTTGCTCGATTCGCGAAAATTGCAAAGCGCGTTCCGGTTTGGTTGGAGGAGCGATAAAGGGAGAGAGGAAAAAATGGGAGGCGAGCCACCGGAGCATCACCGGTGGAACGTTGATTTCTCGCTTTCTCGACTCGACTGCTACACTGCTTGGTCCTCGTTAACTTTACGAGCCGCTCGTAAAAATACCGTTCCGAGCTGCTCTCTCGGTAATGTCTTCATCCCGGCTGGATACGAACCTTTTGCCCGTCCTCGAGGTGAATATAATGTACCATAATCGGCCGGCCAATTACTTAACAGCGGCAAACAATTAATCCCTCCTGCGACCGATTTCCACACTCGCTCCGCTCGGCCGATTTCCACAGATAGATTCCAACGCGGCAGATCTATCTATCGACGAATTCGCCAAGATGGATCGCCGCCGTTTCTCGTTCGCCGCGCTGTGTTTGTCCCGATACGGAGCGACGATAAATTTCGCGACGAGAAAAAGGCGAATACGCGCCACGATCCATCGTCTAATTTCTCCGCTACGCCCCAACGATTAATTCAACGTACAGGCGCTCTTATCGTAACGCTTAACAAGATCGATCGTGGCGCGATCGTGAAAACGCTTCGAGCGAGCGGGCAAAAGGAATTCTCTTCGCCTCGAGCGAACTTCGACTCGCACCTTTGTCGAGATAATAATAATAATAATAAGAAGAAGAAGAAGAAGAACGATCGATCACGTATTCCATTTTCATTGAAATGGCGGGCAGGATCGTGGAAGGATCGTTGGTAGCCATCGCGATGCCATCGAGACGAGTGAACGCACGTCCATGGTCGTCGGTCATCGCGGTTCGGCGATCCTCTCCTCCACGGAATCGTGGGCCAGGATTCAGTTGGAATGTTTTGGAATCGCGCGGCTCCTTTCATTGAGAATACAATTTTTATATACACACGCGCGTGAACAAAGTTGAAAGGAGGGAGACGGAAGGAAGGTTTGGATGGAGGAGAGAAGAGAGAGAGAGAGATTGGATCCGAAGAGGAATTTGCTCGAGGCATGGATACCTATTAGGCGGATACATCGTTTATATCCAGGCACGCAGTTGATCCGTGGGAGCGCACGCGATATCCTTACCGAGTTTAACCGTCATTATTGTTATTAATAATAAGACGTAACCACCGATAATTGCTCAAGTCTGCCTGCGCCTCCGTTTTCCATTACCTTCGCCAACGTTTCGAGAACGCTCGAACGAAGTGTACGTGTATGTGTATATATATATATATATACACGTGCGTGCTTCAAATCGTCTTCTCTATGGCTCGCAGATTTTTCCTCACGTGTCGTTCCATTTCCACGAAACGAATCGTTTTTTCCCGCAATCGCGTGCAGATTGAATAACCATAGGATGCGAACGTCTTCGTCCACAACCGGTCACTGCAAGTAATATCATGCGTTGTTGGAATAAAGGAAAAAAAGCGCTTTGAAATAGTTAGTTGGTCAGTTATCTAAGTCACGACATCGACGATTTCTTCTTCGGCCATCTTCCGCGACGATAAAGTTTTCCTCTTCGGAATTCTTCTTCCAAAGTGGACGATAAAAGCGTGACGTATATATATATATATATATATTAGTTTTTCGTCCAAGGAGAACTTACTTGGGAAGTGACACTCGATGAAGTATATACGTACGTAACGTAGTTTTATCAACTTTATTTTCAAGCACGGTGCTTTGAATAAAATTGCACGAGGGATTGAAAGGTAGAAGAAACTTCTTATCTCGGGGAGAGTCGTTTCGAACAAACGATCGTATCTTTACGCGACGAAGACGTATTTAGAAACTGGAATTGAGAGCTCGCACGAGAGAGGATGGAACTTTATTTTCATTTACGAATAATAATTCTCTTAACGCGGCAAACAGTCTAATAGAATTCGCTGATTTTTATGCTCGAACGTTCGTATTTTTTTTTCTTTTTTATGCAACACCTGTGCACCTAAACAGCTCGTCAACTTTACACCTTTTTCCTCGCGAATGACAGCGCGAGATACATTCGTTCTATAATTAACACCGCAGTTTGACTGCTGCTTCACCTCTGTCGCGCGGCTTAATTTGCGCCCGACTTTCTCTAAAGAATAAAGAATATATATTGTAAAATCATTTGTACGCGCGGATGATTTTATACATAGTTGTGCAGTATATATATATATATATGAAATAAATCAAGATAAACAAAAGAAATTCGAATGAATATAACGAATAAAAAGTTGATTCGTTTCGTATCTCTCTGATGGAAAATGGAATTTTCAACGTCGCCGGCCATCGAACGGCCGATGGTTATATCGCTAATCCGAGCGAGTCGAAGCCGCTACTTTTTTCACGGCAAAGGTGGTGAGACGCGCAGGAGCGGTATGGCAGGCTTGGAACACGTCTTGGAAACGTTACACGGGCGTCTATTCCCGTGATCGGCTCGTATTAGATATCTCTGATTATCGCAGGCTATCGCATACCGGTATCGTTTCGCTAAGCTAAGCTTCTAATGACTACCTCGTGGATCTGCTCGCACACACGATACGATTGATATCCGATGTCGGGAGCTTCGATGTGGATGAACTTGCGATCTTCGAACACCATCCAACGATCGTGGCGAAATTTAAATTTAATCCAAATTTTTTTCGCGAATAAACGTAATTAAAATAATCGCAATAATTGAGAGAATTTTCATTAATTATAAGTATAATTATTTAAAGTAAGTTTATTCGAAATTCAGAGAAAATCTATATTATAGCCCATCCACCGTTTTAAGAACGTACCTTTTCGATCGAACGCGTTCGTTCGAATCGAAAGGGAATTGGAGAGGATCCGCAATATTTTTCCTTCCCTTTCGATCGTGTGGCGCGAGGAACGGGCCCGTAACTTTGTGTCGCGTATCTATTGGAAGGCGAGAAGGAAGCTAGTGTGCTCGGGGCACACTTATAAGGACCGGCTGACAGTTTAACACTCGAGCGTGGACGTTGTTATTACGCGGAGGATGGCCGATGTTTGCGTGATTTTCTGAAATTATGCGGGTTCACTTGGACTACGGCCGATACGAGGCGAGGCACGAGGCGCATAAACGTGGCCCGTTTACGACCGATTTTATCGCGGGGCAGAAGTATTAGCGAAGACAACGCGTCCTTGAAGCTCGTTCTGTTCCAGGTACGCTTCGGCCGCCGGGTTTAATCGGTGGTAGCAAGCCGAAAGTCGCGACGCCGGCCGTCGTCGCCAAGATCGAGCAGTACAAGAGGGAAAACCCGACCATTTTCGCATGGGAGATTCGGGAGAGGCTCATCTCCGAAGGTAAGCGAATACACGCTCGAGAGATCCAATATGAATTTAAATCGAAAAAAGAATTTGCCCAACACTTGCAAGAACGATAATCTCGATGGATCGACGCGGTTTAATTTTAATAACATCGATAAGGAAAAGTTATTTCGAAAAGTTTCCGCGCGAGGACGTTTCAATCGGATGTATAAAGTGAATTTATTCGATAAAGTTTCGAGTTTATTTAAACGGATCGAAAAAAAAGGAAGATCGTCGACGAGAATGATTCGAGTTTTACGATACGAAGAAATTTCGCGACGGATTATTTAAACTGAAGAGGGGAAAAAGGAAAATGATAGCGTGTACTAATGGCGTAAAAGCGTGTTGGGCAGGGAATTCGTTTGAAAAAATTATTCGCGCAGAAAGAGAGAATAAAGGAGTCTACAACGGTAGCCAGTTACGAATAACTGATATCGTTATTCAACGATGCTCGAATGTATTTCGTTGCGTTCGTCGCTCGTAATAACAGTTGTACGTGCAAACGCGTAATTGCCGCTCAAGAATCAAAAAACTCTTCCACGTCCTCGTCAACCGACACACTTTGTTCTTTTCAAAACCAGCCAAGTCTCACCTTGACGAAGTATATCCGCTCGACTTCCCTCCCCTCTCCCCTCGCTCTATCAATTTCAAACCGTTGAATTTGCCATTCGTATTCGTTCTTAAACGCCTCGCTGGAAACTTTCTCCTTTGAACCGTATCCCCCCGTGCGTCATCCCCGTACCGATTTACATGAAAATCAAGAGCATTTGGAAAAAGAACCGGATGCACGGTGGCCGTGCATCGATTTCAAAAGAGCGGACGGATTCTTTGGAACGGACGAATAGCTCGTTCCATTCTCGAAACATAGCCGGAGTCGAAGTTCATCGTGGAACGAAACTTTCGACCCGACGCTCTTCTAACCTTCGATTAATTGTCGAGCATCCATCGAGGCAGGCGTTCGGTCGTCACGATCGATTACTATTATTAGAAACTCGGCTTTTGTCACCCGGAAACGTGATCGCGTCGAACGAATCGTCGCCTCGTTCGACGAAGCGAGAATTCTGTGGATTCGTTTCAGGCGTGTGCAGCAACGCGACGGCCCCGTCCGTGAGCAGCATCAATCGAATCCTGCGGAACCGCGCGGCCGAACGTGCGGCCGCCGAATTCGCGAGGGCGGCCGGCTACGGTTTGTACGCGGCCGGCCCTCACCCGTACTTCAACAGCGGCCATCAGCACCCGACGACCAGCCACCACTTGGCCGCCGCCGGTTGGCCGGCGCCGGGGGCGGCTGCCCACCCCTGGATGCTGCCACCGTTGGCTACCGGCATCTCGGGCGCGGCCTCCGCCCTGCTCCTTCCGCCGTCCTTGAGCCCGGGAGCGGCGGCCGCCTCCGCGTCCGCCGCGCCCGATCACTCCCTGCACGCGGACGCCATTGCCCGGGGCTACTTGCAAGGTGATTGCCGTTTCCATTTGCGAGAACGTGGATAGAAGTGTGGAGGAAAAACGAGCGGTGGTTTTTCTGCGCAGACGGTGACGGGGACGAAGGGAGCCTGGACGGGTCGGAGCAGCCGAAATTCCGGCGAAATCGCACCACGTTCAGCCCGGAACAGCTGGAGGAGCTCGAGAAGGAATTCGAACGATCTCACTATCCTTGCGTGTCTACGCGGGAGCGACTGGCGTCCAAGACGTCTCTGTCGGAGGCTCGTGTTCAGGTGAGGGATCAATTCCATCCAAGATATCTTTGTATCGGGGAGCTGGAGCGCTTTCGTTTCGCAGGGCTTGATCTCTTCTCTCCTATCCCTCTCTCTCTCTTTCCCTCCGAAACGAACGACACGCCCTGCGGTAGCGCTTGGCTCCCCTCTCCCCTCCCCCCCCGTCCCCTCCCCCAAGCTTAGACGAATTTGATCACGAGCCATCTAACGACCTAACTCGTGACTCTTAGGTTTGGTTTTCCAACAGACGGGCAAAGTGGCGTCGTCATCAGCGAATGAACCTGTTAAAGCGTTCGCCGCCGCCTCCGCCGCCACCGCCACCTCCGCTGCAGCAGCAGCAGCAGCAGCAGCAGCCGCCACCGCCGCCACCACCGCCGCCGCCGCCGCCGCAGCCGCAACCGCATTCCGCATCCGGTATGGAAGTAAACCGTGCGTCGAGCTGCTCGATCGGCGGGATGGGGGGAGAAAGTAGCGCGTTCCGGGTCGTGGCGAGCAACTCGTCGTCGTCCTCGTCGTCGTCGTCGAGGGAAGTGAACGAGAGGATGGAGAAGAAGGCCGAGTCGAAGCAGCCGGAAAGGAAGCCGAGCGCTTTCAGGATGATCAGTCAATTGGTCGGGGAGGAATCGAACAAGTCGTCGTCGAGCCCGGCGAGCTTGTACGAGCAACGCGAGAGGCACGAGGCGATCAGGGCCGCCGAGTCGAGGAGCAAAGAGGAATTGGAGCGCGTGGAGGACGAGGACGAAGAGGACGAGGAGATCGACGTCCAAGACTCGGACCAGGACGTTCCTTCTTCGCCCACGGTCGGTGCCTGGCGGGATCATTGGACCGAGCAGCAACCTTTGGAATTGACGAAACACGATCGTTGAAATCGTCCTCTCCTTTTTTTCTCTCTTCCTTCGATCCTTTCACATCATTAAAAACGCGCGTTGAATCGATCGCCCCCTTTTTTTCTTTTTTTACGACACGGTGCGATTTAATTGCGCGTGTGTGCGTGCGTGGACAAAGTTGCGTGGACCTTTATAGAGACGTTATCCGAGAGAAAGTACGTAGAAAGAAAAAAAGAGAAAGTGCGGGATTAATCTCCCCTCCGATCGGTGGAAAAAGGGCCCTCCTTTTCCACCCTTCTCGATCACGATCGGATCGTCGAACTTGTAAATTCGTCGCGCTTCGATTTTTTCGTCGACTTTTTCGAATGACCGATGAAAGACCGATAACAAAAACGTCCCTCGCTACGAAACCTACTCACTACGATTACGATCCCATTTATTACGATTAAGATTAACGATAAGCGGAAGATGGTTGTGCGAAAACGTTTAAAGCCCAAATACCGTGGCCGTGTGTGTGCGTCGTCTGTGGCGCCGCCGTCGGTTTCCAATTACCGTGGATTTTAGATAGGTAATTAATCGGTCGGCCGATACGCATCGCGCGGGTTGTCGCGTAATTTGCGCCACGTATATTATAATTTATAACAGCAGCAGTGGCACAGGATCAGATTCCGCCTGTGTGTGTGTGTGTGTCTGTGTGTGTGTGTGTGGAGGCACGCGAGGAGGAGGAGCAGCAGCGGCGGCGACGGACAGACACCTATCCGACAACTAGTCCTAGCGAATCCGTTATACATCCGCAGATAATGCAGATTGCCTAGGTACTACTAGTGCTACTACTACCGCGTAGATAGAATAGTCGAACAGATGGTAATACTGTAATAACTCTGGAAACAGCTCTGTTAAAAAACTTTGACTTTTATTTAAATATGAATTCGTTTGTAAATATCTACCAATCGCCTTTCACTACACACTCGAAACACTTTCGCAACGAGCGAACGTTGTCCCTTGTTGTCCATCCAGTTCTTCAGTTACCTTTTTTTTCCTCTTCTCCTCCTCCTCCTCCTC